GTAGGATCCGCCACAATGGATAAGCACTCTGTTGGATTTGGGGAAGCTTTTTAAAAAACTGACTCTGCCAGAAACCACTCTGCTTGCATTTCAAATAACTAAAATATCAGTGTCTGCGGTTGAAGGCACCCCTTGTCATTCATGCATTAATTGCCCTAACATACAGCCAAAATGGTGTGGGCTAATTATCATTTACAAGATCACTTAAAAACCCATCCCCTGGCCTCAGGCAGGGGCTAAGAAGTCAAGTGCTAATGTCTAACGTTCATACAAACCAATTCTAGAAAAACTGAAGAGACTGGATGAATTCATGTTGACTTCACTTTCCTTCATGCTATAACTCAGGAATAAATATAGATGAAGGACACAGTAAACATATCCAGGACCCCGAGCTTGACCTTCTGCTTGGTGCGCGGCTGCCTTCCAATGAGCAACTCCCACCTGCCAAGCCCATCTGCTATAAGCTCACTGGCAGCCAGGAAGTCACAAATTATATTCTACACAATTCCTAAAAAGTGCCAGTAGTTTGTCGGGTTTGGTCAGGGAGATAAAGGGATGGACAACAATATATCTGGTCTTTTTAAGCACTGTAGGTTTGCATCTTTAAGCTCCCATTATAAAAATTAGATAGACTTCTGGTTAATATCACAGGAGTTTTGAAAAATCTCAGTAAACCATAAAATATTGAAAGCAAGTAATTAAGCCATACCAGAAGTTTGATTTAAGAGGGTCCTCTGAAGGCATTTTACAAAGACAATGCTTTAGAAGAAGGCAGCAAATAATAGGCAATCGATAAGTAATTTCCACTGTGATGTACTGATCTGTAAGTAATCACTTGGTGATGGTGTCTTGTGATTTTTCTGGGAGAACTTTGGAGTTCCATCCCAGGACAATCTCCCAGATTTAAGCAAAAACTCCATATTTCTTTCAGCCCATTGACAAGGCTGGAACACCAAGGTATGTGTTCTCTTTGGTAATTCTGTCATTGAGGGCAGGCTAATCCAAGACCCCCAAACAGTCCATCCTATTTTCCCTCATCTTCTCTGCCACTTGAAAATTCTCTTTTGCAAGAAAAGAAGATGAAACGTCTATTTGGGAAAAGTATGGATCAATGCAGAATTGAGGAGGCAGAATGAATGGTGAAGGGGATGCAAAGCAAAAAGTATCTAACATCTCCACAGATTACTCACACATTCAACTCTACCCCAAAGTCATTAATACTTCAGGAGAGTTCCCAGAGTTGGAGTAACTTGAGACAGAAACAGTCAGACCTGAGGTGAGAGTCTATTTTAATGTAGGCTAGGGAAAAAATACCTTGTATTTATGTACATTCAGAAAGACTAAAAAAAGAAAATGACCTCTTTCTTTATCCATTTCTAACAGAGACTAGGTGATAAATCCCCAACACCAAAGAAAGATGCTACCAGCATCTCACCTGCATAGACAAATAAATATAATTATTTTATTAAAAATTAACAAATGTAAAGACTTACATATACAGTCTACTGGGCAGAGGTATTTTATGTTATCTATAGCTAATACCTATTTTGAATGGGATACGATGGCATTTAATTGTTTTATTCTATGCTTAGCAAAGCAACCCATTGAATCTAATATTAGTCATTTGCTAGATAAAACATTTTCAGAGAAACAAACTGCTATATTTCTCCCTCAAAGAACAGCAAGCATTTTAAACACATTTTTCCAACGATGTTACACAGGAAAACAGCTTAGAAATGTTACTTTAAACAAATCCGTTCTCTGGCTACCAACAACAAGACGAATTGGAACAAATGCTTGGCTCTGTTCTTTCCAAGCCTCCTTCTGTCCACCTGTCAAAGACAATTTTGACCCCACCAACCCAAGAGGCATCTTGGGAGTGATGGAATGGGTCCCGCTGTATGATGCCCTCTGTACTGTATGCCAGCATCCTCATTAGGGATTATCCAACTCACTTGAAGCTGGGAGAGAGAAGATGGGCTGGCTGCCAAGTGTTCTTTCAACACAGATTCCGAAAGAAGATCCTGCAAAGTGTCGAAAGCCCAGATTTTCAGCAGTTCACTTTCTAGACTGTTACATAGCAACCATGCCAGCTCACAGAAGGTATCAACCAAGTTAATATTTTGTTTAAATGATACACTGTATTAACCCTCTGGGAAAATCCAAGTTTCCTCCATCAGCTTACCTATTGTCAGATATCATCCACACAGAATATCTAAGGAGGGATTGACGCGCTTGTTTAATTCATTTAAAAATGGCAGAAAAAAAGTTGAAAATGGATCTAATGATTTCTTGGCAGCGATAGCAAAAGGTGACTGCTGCTTGTAACCATTTGTGCTAATATTATTAAAAGTACATTAGCATGCATTTAATATGTGCATAATGCCCTTTAGTTAAAAGATGGCTTTTACAGTTGCATTCTGAAAGATACTCATTTCATTCCAAACCTTGATTTGAAAAGTGATAACTCAATTGCACTAAATACTCTTAGGGTTTTGGTTCATTTGAATCACACCAACACAGACAAAATTAAAACAGAAGAGGAATTCGGAAGAGTAGACAGGAACCCCCAGGAGCTGAGCTGCTATGAGCCTTCCTGGAGGTATATTATAAAGGAGGATGAAGAAACCAATCAACCACACTTGAAAATTAACTTGCGAGAAACCACAACCTGTCCTTTAGGAATACAGATGCACTAGCAGAAGCCTTTCCACCTCTGCCCCAGCCTTGCAGTCTGGCAACCTGCTAGCACAGGTCATGAGAAAAACAAATAAACAAACAAAAAACCAAACAAGTTCGCAGAAGATAAATAATGTAAAAAGTACTGGGCTGAGGAACATTTGCCTTAGATAAGTAAATGATACCCCAATGGATTTTTTGGGAGGGGGGGTCGGGGGGAGATGCTGTTTTCTTTTCAACCATCACATTAGTTTAAATTCACATTATTTTGGAGGCTATGTGGCCAACAATTAAGTCGAGTTGAAACCTTCAACATTTGATTTTCTGATTACATAATCACCAAATGCCCCCTAGGAAAGGTTTTGAAAAGTACCAGTGGTACACAGAGGAAAAATCCAGATCACTCTGCATGCTACCACCCACAGCCAATCACTGCTAGAGATGGGGGGCATGCTCCTGGGGGCATGAGGGAGCTACTCATTTTGTATGTTTTTAAGGCTATCAAGAGATCCAAAAGCCATTTGCATTTCCACAGTCCTCTGCGGTTTTCATAGGAAAAAGCAAAAAAGAAGAAAGTGCCAGTGTTGTGCCACCCCAACAATTCAGCCATCAGCTAAGTATCTCCATGTCCACTTTGCGTGGTGGATCTTTCTGCACTGACCACCTTAGCACGCTCCATCTGCATCCAGAACCTGGACAGATAAAAGCAACTTAACTTTTCCATTGTTCAGTCCCCTTTACCATAGCTTTGGATTCTAAGCAAGACACCAGTTGTGAGCGCTTCCTGAACATTGTTATGCAGTCTCCCCTCCTGTTTTTTTTTTTCCCATGGTACCAGTGGAGAGAGCGACTGCCACGCACAAGACACAGAGCAAGGTCTCTGCATGACAGCGTAGCAGTTCCCCAGCACAGAAACCTCCCCACTCTTCCACCATTACGTCATGGCTCCGTGGGTACCAAATCACAGCCCCAATTCCTAAGACTTTTCATGGGCTCCCAAAGTGCCAACTTACTTGGAACGCAACACACAACTGATGCCTTGTACCCACACCCAGCACGCCTCTTCCAGCCAGGTAAGAAAGAGACAGAAACTGACCCAGAGAAGGATTAATGTAACAGATGCTCTAGAGTTAGAAGAAGCTCTTGAAAGGACAACAAAACGGGAAAATCCTTTTAAGCCACTGAACAACTGGTACCTGGTACTTTGTTAAGTGACACAGTTATCCCAAGGGCCTTCTGCCTGGGCTTTCCTTCCTTCCTTCCTTCCTTCCTTCCTTCCTTCCTTCCTTCCTTCCTTCCTTCCTTCCTTCCTTTTCTCTCTCTTTCTTGCAATTAAGGAGAGAAAGAGAGAAGGGGAAGGAGAGAGAAAAGGAGAGAGAAGAGAGAGAAAGAGGGGAGGGGGTCCTCTAAAGTCAGCTTTTCCATTTACTTTCCAATTCCCAGAAACCAAGGGTACTAGGGTACTAGGTTTCTGGGAGGCTTTCTCTCTCCACCTTTAACCCTAGTAGCAGATCTCAGAGCTTTCATTCTCAATGTCAGCACTACCCAGCTGTCCTTTTTCCCTCTCCGACTCTAAACTGCAAAGAGTCCCTCAAGCAGCGACTCTGGGCAGCACCATCCAAGCGAGCGGTGGCTCAGCCTTTGAGATCTAAGATCTCTCCCCCACTGAAAAGTGCTCTTGTTGGTGTTCCTATTTGCAGGAAATCTAAACTCCCTGCTGAGCAGAGCATCTACTGTTGCATCGATATATTCCAAAGCCTGCGCGATCTGAAATGGGGAGAAAATAAAGTCCAGATGCAACGGAGACAAGGGATTTGGCATTTACAGAGAAAAGTGCAAAACCAGTTCAACCCTCTACCCTAGGCGCGCGGCCACGGAGGCCTGGAGGTCTCAAGTAGAGGTGGGGGGGGAGAGTGGTTCCCCAGGAGGAAGGAGCCTTGGGGACCCGGAGGGGAAGGGGCCTTGGCATTCACCTTTGCCTGGAGTGAGAGCAAAGGCCCCGGGCGTGAAAAGTTTGCACCTCGAGCTGCAGGAGGATTGCGTGCCCCCTCCAAGGCACTTTGTCCCGGCAGCAGGGACCCCTGGGCGGCAGCGCCTCCCTCGTGCTGGCCGGGCACCGGCGTGACCGTGTGAACCCCGGCTTCGGTTCTGACAGCAGCCTGCGAGTCCCAGCGGCAGGAGAGGGGAGCCGAAAGGGTTACAGACCACAAAGCAGAGCGATTTCTCCGGGAGCGCGGGGGACGCCTCGTCCCGGGCCCCTCGCGGGCGGCCGGGGCAGTGGCCGGCCGCGGTCCGGCCCGCGATGGCCCGGTGGTCCCTACCTTGCTGGTTCTCCATGCTCGCCGCCGCCGCCGACTCCGCCGCCGCCGCCGCTCCCGGGCCCGGGCCGGGGCCGCCTCCGCCGCTCAGTTCCGCCAGTCTCCGGTTGGTGGCCGTGAGTTCGGCTCGCAGGTTGGTCACCTCCTGGCTGGCCGACTGGACCGCCCCATCGATGCGGAGCGCGAGCTGCTTATTGTCTTCCATCATGCTCAGGATTTTGGCCTGGGGGCGAGAGAGGTGACAAAGAGCTGCATGATGCGCGGGTGGAGGGGTGGGGGCGCGCGGCCCGGCGCCCCCGCCTCTACCTGTTGTGTCCCCCACCCACCCACGGCCCGGCTCCCCCAAGCGCCCCGACCCCCGGGCACGGGCGGCAGCAGCGCCGGCTCCTCGGGCGCAGGAATGACAGCGGCGCCTCCAGCCCGAGCCGCGGCAGAGGCGCGCGGGGGGAGGAGGAGGAGGAGGAGGAGGAGGAGAAAAGGGAGGTGGACGGAGCAGGAGGAGGAGGAGGAGGAGGAAGGGGAGGAGGAGGAGGAGGAGGAGCAGCAATCGCAGAGACCCCAGCGCCGGGAGCGGCTTGGAGGACACCGCGCGCCCGGCACTCTTTCAATGGAGCCTACCATTGCCACGCGCTCAGGAGGGGGCCGGGGCCGGGGGCGGGGGCGCACCCGCGGCCGCACGCGCCCCCACTCCGCGGACACACCTCCGGGAGGGCGGGGGCGGCTGGCGGCGGCCCTCGGGGGGCAGGAGGTGGTGCCCCCGACCCCGCGTGGGGGACGCGGGGTCCCCGGCCGGCCCTCCGTCCCCTCCCCGGAGCGTTGGGGCCGCCTCGCCCTGCTGAACTAGCGCCCCGCGCGCCGATCTGGGGCTGGGAAGGAGGTGGGCGCTTAGGAGAGAGAGAGAGACAGAGACAGAGACAGAGGGGTGCTCTGAAAAGGGGGCCCGAGAGGGAAGCGAGGATGGAGCTTCGGGGTGAGGGCGGGGACCGGGGCTGCTTGCTGGAGCTAGGGAGCAGCCGAGTTCTTGCTCTGCTGCTTCCCTGAAATGCGGCTAAGGACTGTGACAGCAGTGAGGAGCGACGCTAAGTGCCCTGCGTACCCCTCAACTCTCCACCCTACTTCCACCGAAGCTGCCGCCCCAACTTGCCCTGACCTCCCTCGGACCCCCTCCCCCCTCTCCTGCGAAGAAACGCTCGGTCCTTCCCCACGGGAGATGTTGCTTTTACCCTCCCCCCTCCCCCAGGCCTGAACTGTCCGTGGTCTCTGGGACCCGAGCTGGGAGAGCTGCCAGAACCAGGTCCTCGGCTGGGGCCCAATACTAGGGGTGAGCAGCTGAGGACCACGCCGGGAAAGAAGACTGGAAGAAATCAGTGAGACTCCTGCTATCTCCTCCCACTGGGAGTAAGAAGCCCTGAGTCTTGCTGCCTCTGTTTACCCACTCTCTCCTCCCAGACAGCAGACAGAGGTGACCATAAATGAATAACCATCTCGCTGCTCTTCCAGCCAGAGCACAGTCTTGGCATTTTTTTTTTTTTACTCCAGAATTCCTGCCACCAGACCCCGTTACCATGGCAAGCTTTATTCCATGCAAATAGGCCAATTTAAAATAGCCAGGGTCGCCCCCAGACACAGCGCTCCACCATTCCTGCTCTGTCCCTCCCTGGGACATCTACTCAGAGTCTGCCGCAGAAAACGATGTTGAGGGTCACAGAGGGCAGGCACCCGTCAGAGCAACAGCACATATTAGACGCCTGCTAATATGTGTACCCTGCTTAGCATCCATTGTCATCTCTTTGGAGTCAGGATGGTTGTTCCCATTTTAGAGATGAGGAGACTGAAGTATTGGGTATGGACCAGGACTGGAAGAGTGTGTCAGCTGATTCCCATTTAGTCTCACTGTGCCACTGTGCCTTGAAGTTAGATTACTGCCCCTCCCCCACCTTTATATGGAACCATAAAAGCACATTCCTGTTCCATCCCTCCAAGCCAGCTCCATCCCCTGTGACCACTAACGAGCTCTGGCAGGAGGATAGGGCAGTATTAGGTGGTGGAATGTGTGGCAGCAGACACGATTTTTCACTCTTTTCGCTTGACAGCTAACTGGTCAGATGGGGATTACACCCCTGGTTTAGACTCATTCGCACAAGTTCTGGCCCACTGGACAAACCAGGGAACTGAAGCTGCCTGACTTAGTGGTAAGCCAGGCTTGAGTTCTTTCAGTTCCTTCAGTTTTGTTGGCAGAGGGGGTGTGATCAAAATCAGAGAACTTTTTGGGTCTTTGAAAAGTGTTCTGCCACTGAGAGAAGCAGTTTGGGGACCCTGAAAAAGTGATCTTATCCACGCTGTATCCTACAACACCAAATTGTTGAGAATAGATTTTTCAAAAAACTGCATATAAGTGTTCACAGAACCTTATTCACCATAGGCAGATAGTGCTGGCATTAAAGCACTTACAATGCCCAGAAGATAGCCCCCATATGAACAAATAAACAAATTGTCGTATATTTAAACAACGGAATATTATTCAATCACCAAAAGAAATGAAGCGCTGATATGGCATTGTAGCTAAACCAAAAATGGACCAATTAGGTCTGCCACTCCCCGCTCCCCACCCCCATTAGAAAGCCAGGCATGGAGAGTCACACATCAATGATTTACTTTATGTGAAATTTCCAGAGATAACCAGTATATATGAAAATCATAGAGACAGAAGATAGACATTCAGCCATGCCTGCAGGGAGGAAAGCATGAGGTCTAACTGCTTTATGGCTACTGGATTTTATTGGGGGTAATGAAAATGCTTTGCAACGAGATCGAGGTTGTGGTTATACAAGCTTGCGAATGTACTAAATGTCACTGAATTCTTTGCTTTTAGATGACTAATTTTCTGTTATGTGGACAAAAAATTGTCAGCAGATATGCAAATACAAAAATAATGAGGGATGGGAGGGGTGTTCTTGGAATAAACCTGAGAAAATTCAGAGCAGCTCACTCCGTTTGGAGAATTGTGTGCCCATGCAAGTGTTTGTGGGTATGTGTATGTGTGTGCCTGAACACTTGCACAGCTAGTGTAGGACCCATCCAAAGGCACAGGGATAGATCTATTCACAGGCCTTCCTCCCACTTTCCTGAGGCTTCTGGTGGGGGAGGTTGGTCAGTTTTTTTTTCATGTTTCATGTGTTATTCATCTTTTGCGTCCTTGCCACCCAGTCTATAGTAAGTGCTCTGTAAATGGATGTGTGTGAGCGTGTTTGTACAGTAAACAAAGTGACCAAGTGTTACTCATTTTCCTCTTCAGTGAGATTATTCCCACACACCAGAATCTTCAAATCAAATCAAAGCAAAACAAAACAAAAAAGCAAAGACACATTCCTTAGGCCTCTCTCTCTCTCTCTCTCTCTCTCTCTCTCTCTCTCCCCCTTCACCCCTCCCTTCATGGTTGCCTCCTTTTCACCCCTCCTTTTCTTAGTAGGGCAAGAGAGAGAGAGAGAGAGAGAGAGAGAGAGAGAGAGAGAGAGAGAGCACTACTGAAATTCCTAGAGACTCACTTTAGAAATTCCCAGGGTCCCTCCCCGATCTTAAAAAATTTCATTTTTTGAGATTTTTTTTCTTAAGATGAAAAAGGGAGTTTTCCCCAGCTGTGTCTCCGTATGTTCACACACAGACCACATACAAAAGGATCTGGAAGCCTGAGAACAATTATCCTCTCTTCTCCACTTAAGCCATCGAGAAAGAAAGGGGAATGATTTACTGGATCTACTCTTCCCTCCCCCTTAACTTTTCCCACCTCTTTTCCTAGGTGATCCAGGTAACAAAACAGTCTAAATCTGACCTTTCCCACTAACATTCCTAGCAAGATGGAAGGCCAAGAACCTACCACTCTGCTGACATCAACATTTGCCATGTGAGCCTTCCTTCTCTCATGAACAGGGACCTTATAATTCAAAACCAAACTGAGACACTTGTGAGTGAATGAGGATATTATGAATATTTAAGCCCAGACAAGTGGCACAGATTAGAATTGTCCCAGGAAATCCAGTAGCTGAACTATAATCAAATGAAAACATTTTGGAGATTACACACTCCAGCTTCTCCTCTAGACTGACAGAAATGGAGATGCAGGCAGTGGATGGGGGCCAGGCAACAATGTTGGGTAAAGAATTGGGAGGGAATCAGGGCCAGAGAGATAGTATAGTGGTTAAGTTATTTGTCTTGCATGTGGCTGACCTGGATTCAATTCCCGACATCCCATATGCCCCCCCCCCCCCCACTGCCAGTTTTCGTAGTGTAGTGGTTATCACATTTACCTCACAGCGGGTAGGGCGTTTGCCTTGCACACAGCCAACATGGCCGACCCGAGTTCGATTCCTCCGCCCCTCTCGGAGAGCCTGGCAAGCTACCGAGAGTATTCGATATGCCAGACACAGTAACAACAAAGTCTCCAATGGAGACGTTACTGGGCCCGCTCGAGCAAATCGATGATCAACGGGAGGGCCTTTACTTTACTTTACGTATATGGTTCCCCCAGAACCACTAGAAGTAACTCCTGAGTGCAGAGCCAGGAGTAACCCCTGAACATCACCGGATGTGACCCCCAACCCCCAAAAAAGTCAAAAAGTAAAATAATTTTTTTAACAAATTGCAAGGAAGTCAAACCAGAGATTCCAGAAAATGGACCATCCAATGGATTTGCTTCCTGTCCCTTGGATGGTCAAGCTCCTGACAGAGTGTGGGTGACACTTGCCCACACATAGAGGGGATCCAGGGCCCTGCACAGTCTTTACTCTCACTTCCTCTTCTTCCACTCCCTTCCTGTTCCTGGCAAGCTTGCTGGGGTCATTCTTTCAGACCTCAGGGCCTCTTTTCTCATTTCTGCCTCTACCTCTGATTCTTTTTAGCCCCTAGAGTTAACATTCAACAATTCCTTAGTTTGTAGCACATTTCACCATTAGCCACCATTTTGCTAATTTGAAATGGAGTTTGAGGCAATTTGAAGAAGTTTCATGGGTTTTACTTACTTGCAATCAAATTCCTGATCCAGAGTCCCCAAGGCAGTCCTGCCTATTCCTTGTCCTGGATTCCATGGAAGTTGGAAGAAATAAATGGCCTTCTTTGGGCTGATTTGACCATGGCCTGTTACAAATAGCCCAGACTCAGACTGCCATCAATGACCCTAGGAAGTCAAAGTTCATGTCCACTTTTTCCTTGATTATAACCACTGTTACA